ACCAAAATGTTCTCATAAAGCTACCAAATATTTCTAGAACATTCCTTTATTATTAGTACATTGGTACCTTTAATGTTTCCAGAACATTCCTTTAGGCTTGTTTGGCTTATAAATCATGGCTGAAAGTACCGTTGACTGGTTTGGTGTGAGAGAAAAATATTGTTCGTTGACTGATAAATCATGGCTTATAAGCCAAATACGACCAAGCGAACAGGCTGAATATTCTTATAAGGGCAAAATGGGAAAATGTATTTCGAAAATCGTGAAGTGACAAATATTTTGAAATAAATAAAGTGGTCAAAAGTGACAACTATTTGGAAATCGGAGGTTAGTATACCATGTGTAGTGTTTTTTTTTTTGAGAGGAACCATGTGTAATGTATTTAGAAAAATGGTACAACTTGAAGCATTCAATTTCAACCTCTCTGCTCCCGGTGGCCGAGTCACGGCCCCCAAATGCCCCCAATACTCTCTCCATCCCAGTACGGCCATGTTCCGCACTTCCGCCAGTTCTCCAAGTCGAATCCGCGCAGCGTGCACGGCGGCGGCAGGTGCGTGGCTCGCGGCCTGGCGGCTTGCGCAGGCCGATGTCCGCAGGCGCCGAGGCGCGCTCCGCCGTGCGGCAGAGGGCGGCGGGGGCACCGGCCACCGGGCAGGCACGGCAGCTTGGGGCGGGCGCAGGCGTCGATTTGCGTTGCGCCGCGGCGTAGGGGCGGCGTTCGCGGGCGCACGACAGTGCCGGCCCTTCTCGGCTCTCCCATTCTCCCTTCTCCGGCAAGCCATTAATGGAACTGTAAGTTTGTAAGTTAATTTTGCTTAATGGGCATCCTATTTCTATGTATGAGTCAATTTGCCAATGTCTGAATTTTAGACCATGTGACAATGAGGCAGTGAACATTACTTGAAATAATACCCTGAAACTTGATATTATGTGATGCTATAATCAGTAACACATGCCAACAAATTGGATTTGGGCTGTCAATTTTTTCTTGTACCCTTTAAAATTTTGAATACACATGTTCCAAATGCGGGGCTCACTTCTGGCTTCACCAGGCCCATGTGTTATTTTGCAATCAATTACTGCTATTTTTCACTTAGGCCCGTTTAGATTCTTGAATTGAATTCATTATAATAATTATAATTTAGGCATAGATTAATTAAGCTAATATAGTTATATATGGAATATATTTGTACATTTATTGTTAGACATACTTATATGTTGCATTTCTATTGTAGGGAAGTGAGTTCAAGAGTGTGTTATAAGTTGGAGAATAGAATTATAGCACAGTGATCTATAGAATTTATTTCCATCTCTCACCCTATGAATTTGAGATAGGCTTATTTGTGAGTTTGGGAATGGTATGTAATATCAAATTTCGAGCTAAATAGTCTAATCCATTATGTAGATTTCAATTCAAACAAAATGAAGGGATCCAAACGGCCCCTTAGAATATTTCAAGGGCATCGAATCACATGGATCAAGTGGAATGTCTAATCAAGCTAAAGTTTTACTTACTACATACAACGTGATTGAGGTTGTGATTAAGGGGAAAGCTAAACCTTTTTAGTATTGCTAAATTATGTTTGTGAAAAAAGAGCAACATGAGTTATATTATGTTCCTTATGTTGAAACTTACCCATAAGACTGCCTGCCCCATTTTGTACTGCATTTTGCAAATAAAAAGCTTGAGATAAGAAAATGTAGTGATCAGCTTCACCTATCTAGACATAATGAAGTCATCTTGTGTGAGAGCCCTACTTGGGGGGGGTTGGGGTTTGGTGGCTAGGGCAGGGATGGGGGTGTCGGCGTAGGGAGAGGGGAAGGGGGCGACGGCAGGGAGAGAGGGTGGCGCAAGAGAGAGGAGGGATAGGGGAAGCCTGAGGCTATTTCTTTCTTAGATTAGAATGATTACAATGGTCCTTTATTTATAGTCCCGAATGGACTTGTATCTCAAGTAAACTACTATCAAATGTCATCTAATCTTATTTCTTAGATTGATCCTATTTCTATTCTTCCTATTTCTTTCCTTTATTCTAGATCCTTCGGGATATGGGTGTTGGTGGCATGGTGGGAGGGCGCCCCACCTCTGGGCACGCCCTTCCTAGTGGCGTGGTTGGCCAGGATGTGGCCAGCCTGGGACCCTCCTAGGCCTGTAACGCCCCCTCCTGGACCCTCCATTAGGCGTATGACATTTCTCCCCCATTCTCCAGTTAGCGCGCCCTCGTGCTGAATTATTGTCGAGTCATTGATGGCGTTGACGGGGAGCTTGCTACCCCAAGGTATCTCCTCTATGTGAATAAGGAGGTGTGCAAGAGTGTCGTGCATATGCTCGGAGTTGGTGTTGTTGGCGAAGAACTCAGAACATTATTGGCAGGAGCCGATGTAGTCGAAAATGTAGTAGTTGAAGGTTCCGGAGCCTGTTGTTGGCCCATGGGCATGGCATGCTGCAGTGAGGGTGGCGCTGGGAAGGATCCCCATGAAGTGCAGCACCTGCATGACCCTTGGAGTTCATGGAAACATGTATTCCTGTCTTGCATCAACGTGTCCTGTGATTCGTCTACAGTGTTGCCGTGACCTTGGACGGAGGAGTTGTTGTCAAGTGCTCTAGGGTGCCGAAGAGAAGGTTGCCCATGTCATAGTCGACTGGAGAGATGAGCGGGTGGCCACGAGCGTGGTGCCTGCTGATGTACACATCCTCAGTGTTGAGGAATTGTTGACTGTTGCTGTCGACGAAGACGACCGTTGTTGATGGTAGTATGTATAGTGGCCAGGCCTCTACCAGCAAGATGCTCGAGGGTAATGCATGGCTGGTTGGCGCTGATGCTGCTGTGTGGAGGCCGATTGCTTGAAGTTGTGGTGTTGTTGTCCCGAGTGATTCTAGTAGGTCCTGCAACAAGGGAGATGTTGCTGGAATGTAGTAGCGGTCGTTGTAAAGGATGACGCCTTGCTGGAGTGACTAGGTTGGTGCGACCGCTTTGACTTCGATGGTGGCGGCGATGATCTGGAGTTCTTGCTCGTCCAGAGCGGCCAGGCGAAGCTGGGTGGGGATGGCCGGGTCAGTGGTGTCGACGAGGTGGGGTATTGTGCTGGTGTTGCCGTCGGTCTGTGAAGCGAGCGCCACTGGTGGAGTGGTACCGAGTGTCGGGGCTACCGGTGTAGGATGTGGTGCCGGTGCATTGTCCATCCATCTTGTTGGGCCGTCTCCTTCCCGTGGAGCCTCACGGTTGGGCTTGGTTCCGATGATGGTGTAGGGGATGCTGCGTGCGGTGTTGACAGTTGTGGCTACGTGATGCTCCTGCGCACGCCGAGGTTATGGCCGTCTCCATCTCCCGTGGGTGGTGTTGTGCAACCGTTGACTGTACACTGTAGTGGATCTTGCAGGCCGGTGATGAAGAGGTTGGTCTAATGAAGCTTGCTAACGATGTTGGCATGTAGCACATATGCTGTAAAATCGTCAATATGGTTGTTCACGGTGCCGGTGTATCTGGGGGGTGCAAGGTCGTCGAGTGTGTCCCGACAGATTGGTGGAGCGAAGTTGCGGATGAGACTTCGGGTGAAGAGCCCCCAATTGGTCATCGATGCGTCCTTTGTTGAGCCAGTAACCTGTTGGATGAAAGGCGGCATACCGGATTTGTTGATCTTCAGGCACGTGGTGCAGCCTGAAGAGAAGCCGCAACCTGGAGAGCCACGGTAGTGGGTCTGTTGAGCCGTCATACGTGGGAGTTGTCAGCCGAGTCGTGAAGGGTCGTTGGAGTGGAAGTTGCGCTAGCTCTGCCGAAGGGATCAGGCCCTGTGGTGGTGGAGGTGTGGGCGCCTGATGCGCTGGCGGCCAGATGGCCGGCTGGGGTGGTCGGTGGCTGTCTGGGTTGGCTAGGTGAAAGCCCTAGTTTGGTTTTAGCTAATTGATGAAACCTATTAGACTAACCCTATGTCTAAGTTCGATTATGAGATAGGTTGGTCCAAGTCCAATTGATGTAGCTAGAGGGCACTTATGGTGATGGAGGTGGCCAAAAGATGGTGATCAAGTGCTCCACTTGGAAACGAAGAAAGAGAAAAATAAAATGGGCTCAAGGCAAACATATAATACCATAGGGCCATTTTGTTTTGTTGGTCAAGACACTATACAGAGAGTGTGACTGGGGTCAGGATAGATAGCCATACTATTAAGAGGGATGATCTCAAAGCAAATACGGTTATCTAAGTGCCACTAGGTGAGTTAACTCCATGCATGTGCATTAGGACCTAGTGAGTGCTAACAACCCTTGGAAAATGATTTGTGAACTGCTCCTTCACGTCCTCAAATTGCTTGTGGACGTCCGCAACGAGGCCATCAATGAAGGCCTTCATGGCAGCGGTGGTACTGTTTCGCCCATGGATGTGGCCTGGAATCTGGATACCTGGTGTAACAGCCCTACTTGGGGGAAGGGCTGTGGCTAGGGTAGGAGGGGCGGCCGGGGGTGCTGGAGGCACAGGGAGGGGGAGGGCGATGTGAGAGGGAGAGAGGGTAGGGTAAGGAGCAATTGCTCAATTCTTGCTTAAGATCAGAATGATTACATCTCCCCTATATTTATAGTCCCTATAGGACTTGTAACCCAAGCAAACTATGGAAGAGATCCTTATAGATTGGATCCTTCTTTCCTAAACAAACCAATGTCCTATCTTATCAAATCTAATCTTATTGCTTGATAAAAGATCCTATTTTAATTCCTCAACTAGTCCGGATTCCTTCCTGGCGAAGGTGGTTGAGGGGGCGCTGTGGCCGCCCCACCTAGCGCGTGCGCCCTTCCTGGTGCCCGCTGGAAGCGGTTGAGGCCAGCCAGGGCCCTTCGTTGGGCCTCGCTAGGCCCGCTAACTCTGGGATGGGGGCCCCTAATCAGGCGTATGACACCCTACCTCTTTTTGTGTGAGATTTGACCCGGAATTTATACACTTAATTTCTTCCGCTAGTTATAACATGCATCAACTCACCAACAAATAATGTTTTATCTTGTCTACCAAGATCACTTCAATAGGAATTGAAGACGCTCTGCTACATCTGCCATCTCTGGCCTTAGATCAACATCAAGATTTAGACATTGCACAATAATTTCTGCCAAACTATGAAACATCCCAATGGTTCCTTTTGCTGAAATTTCTGGATCAACAAGCTCGATCACTCCCTTCTTCTTTGTGTAGGTGTCAAGGGAATTCCCGAGTAAGTTATTGATTTCAGGATCTAAGACCTTCTTCCTTGTAATGAGTTCTAAGAGCACGACACCAAAACTGTAGACGTCACTTTTACTCGTATATAGGCCTGTTTGCACATATTCTGGATCCATGTAGCCCCAGTTACCAATGATAGTGCTTGTGTAATTTTCTTCAATGGTAATCATCCTAGATGTACCAAAGTCAGAGATCTTCGGTATATAATTTTCGTCCAAAAGGATATTAGCTGGTTTAACATCACCGTGGAGAATTGGTGTTGTGATTTCAGAATGCATATACGCTAGGCCCTTCGCTGATTGTGCGGCAATCTGGAGGCGTAGATCCAAGTCCAGAGGCATCCCATTGCTTTCATGCAGAATCTTATCAAGGCTACCATTGGGCACATACTCATAGACCAAAATTGGGACATCAACCTCTAGGCAACAACCTATGAGGTTGACAATATTCTTATGCAAGACTCGAGATTGAATGATAACTTCATTTGCAAATTGGTTTGCCAATTTAACATCAATCCTGGGCTTCTTGACTGCCACTGGTCGAATTTCATCTCTAAGATACCCCATGTAAACCTCACCGAAGCCACCTTGTCCAATACGATTACTTGTTTTTAGTATTGGCTCTAGCTCCTCCTTTTTGTATAGCTTAATTTTATTAACCTTTTCAATTAGAGGGCCCCCGTTCTTCCTAAAGAATTCTTTCATCTTCCGTTTCTCTTTGCCAAGAAGAAAGATGAACACCACAATGGCAATGATGAAAAGTCCACCTATTGCACCTACAAAACAAATACAAACATCAATTAAAGTGTTCCTATACCCGAACTTGACAACCTCACAAGAACATACGCAGTTCAAAAGATGACAGCAGCACTGCTGCTTCTCTTTTTTGTGTACTTTAGTCGTTATGGCAAAAAATCCCTAACTTTTCACATATGAAAGACAGCTTCAAAAATCTTCATCATTTTAGTGATAAAACCCCCCTAGACTACCAGGTTCTCTTTTGTTGTAGGTTTTATACATCAAGTTTAAAGGCTGTCCAGTGGATCCTATTACAATTATGTGGTACCATATGTAAAGTAGCGGTCCACAATTGGTATCTGAATGTGCCGGTCCATAATTAGTATCCGAAATGGTCATAATTGGTAATTTGGTATATGAAAGGATATGTACTAAATTTATGTATACCAAGAACAAATACCTTGTACTTATTAGGAGTGAATAATAAGTGAAAAATATATATGCACAAGGATCATATGTATATATACCTGTGACAATTTTTGCTGCAAGCGGAAAATTGGGGCTGCAGGGAATATTCAGTGGATCGGCACTGTGAGTACCTCTAGGGCATTTGCACTCATAGGAACCTGATGTGTTCTCACAAATGCCTCGGCATGGATACTCCTTATGTTCACACTCGTTGATATCTGCGTTGTTTACCAACCATGTTTATCAGATATTCAGAGCCATATAACACTATCCATAATTAAGAAAAACCAATTAGAAATTAAATTGACTTTTGAAGTATAAAATTACAGGTGCAATTAACTATTGTCACTCTTAGGCGGTGAGTGTGATTTTCTACTTTGGTCCGTTGTCAGTGACTCGTGTCCCACATATATGAGAGGGGATCGAGACCACATAAGTGTATACTAACTGAACTAACAATCAGATTGCCCGTGATTAAAATGTAGCAAGATGGACACATAATTCAATTCAGCCTGTTTTGAATTCAGAATTTTGCTTCCTTCCTCCAAAACATTGAACTTTTCTTTTACCGATCAAATTGTGCAGACTTACCAGTACAACCGCCGGCGATATAGGGATTGCCTTGGTATCCCTTGCTGCAGTTGCAGACGTACCCAGGTCCATTGGAAGAGTCACGGCACTCACTGCTGGTGCTCACACAAGCATAGCTCTGTGCCTTCTTTGCCTCGTTGCAGGTGAGGTTGCCGCGGATGGCCCAATCCAGCCACACCGGCATCGTGGTGTTCTTGTCCATGTTCAGGTCAGTTGTGTGGAAGGTGTAGCTGTCCTTGTCCACCAGGAAGGCGTAGTCGCAGGGGCTGAAGTCCAGCACTGCCGTGTGGTTGTAGTGTTCGAAGGCCATATTGTTGTTGGTGAGGCCCGGAGGGATGTCGACATGGCAGCACCCAACGCCAGCGCAGGCGCCATCCACCGCGCTATCAGAGCTGTTGCAGAAGGACATGCAGCCGGTGTAGTAGGCGTAGGGGTAGTAGCCGTTGCCTTCGCTCCGCTGGCTTTGGGTGTAACCCAGGGTGTTGCAACCGATTATAACGACCTGATTGTGCGTGTTGGAGATGCGGTAGACGTCGTCGCGGTTGAAATGCACATCGCCGTTGCTGGAGGCGTACACGGTGTTGGAGAAGTCGAAGCATTCCCACGCGACAGGGAGCATCACACGGGCCTCCGCGGTTCTGATGGAGAGGAGGTTGACCGGGACGGGCCTCGTGGTGCCGGCGAGCACCGGCGTGCCTGTGACGTGGTCACAGATGATCTCGAAGCCATTTCGGAAGCAGCCGGCGCCGATGCCGAACGGATATTGGATGGATATGCTGCCGCAGCTGCCAGGGCAGCCCGAGGTGGTGTTGGCCTCCGGAGTAGCTCTTGAAGCCATTGCTGCTGTTAGCAGCAGACACGATTGCAAGATCAACCTTGTCGGCATTGCTGTGTTGCTTTTTCTTCAAGGATCGTTGCTTCAAACTGTCCTGTGTACCAGGTCAAATTGACGCATGAAATAGAGATTTTTGTTTATGGACAATAACTAATTCTATTTTAATGCCAAGTAGCGCAAAGGTCACGTTGGCTCGTGTGTAATGAAATAGAGTAGCTCTTGAAGCCTTTGATTTTTCTTGTTTTCACGTGGACACGCGTGAAGTAGACGGAACTCTGACTAGATTCATCAGTGATTCAGATTGACGGAGTTGCCAACTCTGACTATCCTTCTAGTCTAGCGCGTGCAGTAGACGGAATTCTGGCTACACATTAGTGATTCACGTGGCGTTTAAATTCACAGGCTAAAGTTTAGGGGTGTCACATTGGGTGTCACATAGGAGTATTCGGATAGTAATAATAAAACAAATTACACAAGTCATCAGTAATCCGCGAGATGAATTTATTAGGCCTAATTAACCCGTCATTAGCACATGTGTTACTGTAGCACTACTTTGTCAAATCGTGAACTAATTAGGCTTAAAAACTTGGTTTTATAAAGTAGTTGTAATTTGTGCAATTAGTTATTTTTTAGTCTATATTTAATACTCCATGCATGTGTCAAACATATGATGTGATAGGACTAAATTTTAGGGGAGTAACTAAACAAGGCTTCAGCTTGACGCTGGCTAGCGGACGCGCTTGTAGCACAGTGGTAGCGACTGCCGTCATGCAGCGCACCCGTCCGGGATCGATCCCCTTTTGGGCGTCGCATGGGTTTTTTCTCCAAAATGATATTTGCAGGTCTTGGATATCTACAGCCTTATACGTAGATGCTCCACAATGGTTAATGCCTAGAAGATTTTGGATACCTCTCAGCCACGTACAACCTCTTCGTATAGGTGATAGGTCTAGCTAGGTGTGGGTCTAGCTCGCGCACTAGGATGTGTGTGCGTATGGTGGTGTAAGTTAGTTGGTTGATGACTAAAAGATTTTGGATACCTCTCAGCCACGTGCAGCCTCTTCGTATAGGTGTAGGTCTAACTTACACACTAGGATGTGTGTGGTGGTGTAAGTTAGTGCATAAGTTCAGACACTGCAGCTTGTACTTAAAGAGTCGAGGCATAAAAAAAAACTCTGACTATCCTTCAGCTAGAGTGCATGTAGCAGCTGACTCCAAAGAAGGGTAATTATTGCTTGTTAGTTGTTACTATATATATCACCTTAAGGATGATATACATCTATCAGTCAAATACATGCATAGAAACAAAGTTCCGCAAGAGCAAAACACATATCATTACTTCTGTTACCTACAACAAAGTGTCTAGTACCTAATACAAGGGCATACATCTAACTGAGCTGATGCAGGTATGTGAAAGCTCCAAGAAACTGCGAGAGAAAATGAGCAGGAAATGAATCGATTGCTGGGATCAAACCTTTTGGCGGCTGCGTTGTGGCCAGCAGCACTTCGGAGAAGAGACAAGGTAAAAAGAGGAGAGGAGTTGATAAAACTCCTACCGCCCTACCGGATGTGGGGGGAACGGCGGCAGAGAGGCCAGCACAAGGACCCAGCAGGCCAGCAGACGGCCGGAGGCTGGGCGGTGGTGGAGGCGCGGTTCGGATATATAGCCAGGGGGCGGCCGGGCGGATGGTGGAGTGGAGAGACGAGCTCGACCAAACTCGGCTCGGCGTGGTCCTGGTGTTTCCGTGGGCGTGTCATATGGTTTTGTTACTTCATTTCTGTCTTGTCGCGACTAGCGCAATTTGCAATGCAAGTGGATCGATGCCATTCCATATTCATATATATCGTGCTACCTATTTGATGTTTCCTCTCGCTTTCGCACCACAACTTGCTCGGATCATGACACATGTAGGCACCTTTTTTTTTGCTTGACACTAGTGCTTTGACTCATTCTGATTGGATCACTGCGAGAGGAGGGCCTACAGAGTGTCTAAGTATCTTGTGTCCTCAAGGATTTGAGATATTATTAAGAAGTAGATGGTGATTGTGACTGGACTCACACTACACCACAACACAGACGGCGTAAGTCCTGTTGCTAAAAATTTTTAGCGTCAGACAGTACTTTTAGCGACAGATAGTCTGCTACCTTGAATATTTATAGCGACAGATAGTCCATTACTAATTTTTAGCGACAGATGCTCTGTTATCAAGCATATATCGACAGATCATCCAATAGTCCATGTGTTTATAGCGACAGATTGTTCAACAGGACACCATAAATATACCAAAAAAATAAATACGATGAGAAAACATTCATCACATATCAAACCCAGATTCAAGCTTAATATAGTGTCCACGTCACATGAAGGTACACAAACAAACATATATCACATGAAGGTCAATATTTATATACATCTAATTGTTCTTGTACGCCATATGAGTGTAAGTCATTCAGCAAAGTCAAACATCAAAAGAATTACATGAATGCACATCTCAACAGAAAATAATACTTTTCACGTCATAAGGTTTGTGCACACAATCATACATCTGGCAACATGTGCCAACCTAAGTCATATATGAAGCAACTGCCTTAACTGCAACACGAAGTCAGCATACAACTAAAGTTGATAGAAAAGTCATACATCTCAGTATGATGCTACTATATCCCTAAGTCATAAAGTAGACCAAGCAACATGAAGCAACTGCTTCCTAAACAGCCTTTCGTACTAGCACATAGCATAGGCATTAAAAGGGGCGTATCCAGGGCAAAGAGCTCCCGCTCTGTGCGGGGTCTGGGGAAGGGTATCAGTAGCAAGCCTTACCCTCGCCTGTGAAAGGCGAGGAGACTGCGACTCGAACCCGGGATCTTCCGGCCACAGGCGATAAGACTCTACCGCTTGCACCAGGCCCTACATAGCATAGGCACTGACTTAGCAAAATGGAGTGTTTGTTGCACAACCAACATAGGCTACATTCTAGATGGCAGAAACCAGATAATTTCTATAATAATCTTGTTGCTTGATGGTTGCTACGAAAATACTTTTGCTCCACAGCACACATGTTGATCAAACATGCTGGTTGCAGCCCAAATGACTTGTGGTACAGGTTTGCTGAAACTTGAGAGGATCCATCTCCAGTTGCCCTCTACATAAAAAAAAGAAATGACTAGTGACTAATGCTCAGATTTCCAACGAAAAATATCATACCATCACCACTCAATACTTGTAGGGACATAACAAATTCAGAATGGTAGATGAACCATGAAGGATGGAAACAAGAGTTATATTCATGTTTGTTGCATATATATAGTAAACCAATACTTGTAGGAACATAACAAGTTCATAATGGTCTACTTGCAAGCTGGTAAATGAGCTACAAGAAAAGTACCAGTACGATTCGTGCATATTTTTGGGCATAAGGCTACAATCAGATAATTCACAAAAGCAGAATTGTACCTCAAGTACAGCTTGCTAAAACAGTAACTAACAACTAGTACTAACCAGCATTCTAACGAATAGCCAAAGCAGTACGAAATTAACTTGATATTAGCAGTAACAAATTTTCTATAGACCAATTAAACAGTAGTAGTGACAAGCAGTTTATCACACACAAGTAGTCCACGGGATGTTTTCTCCAATCCCAATTGGGTAACATTATGCAACTAATTTTGCAACAGCTGAAGTCTCAATGTTTTCATGAGAATAAAGTCATCAGTTATAAGTGATATAAGTCAAGATATCACAGATGAAAAATTATCGTCTATTCAAAATGCTTATCATTTAAGTGAGGGCTGGCAGGAGATGGCTGCAGCACCAGGACAAATCTGAGGTCAACGTTGCAGCTCAAGAAAATATAAGTGAAGACAACACTTCCCCTGTCCCACCTTCTGTACAAGTACCAAAATTTGCTTTAGATAGTTAGATTAATACTACCATGTTGCATGCAGTCTGCAGCCTGAACCAGATGCAATGACCATGCAGAAGAAAAAAAATCAGATTGAGGACTAACCAACTACTTGACTAGGATTTGAGGCCAGTAGAAGGGAAGCTAGTACAATCACAAATCCCAGGTCGTTGTTAGATGCTCGAGAAAAAAAATCAGAGAGGGAGAACTAACCAACTACTTCACCAGCGGCTATGCTCCACTGCTCCAGGTGCTCACAAAGTAAAAAAAGATAAAATTAGAAAAGAAGCATACTCCTAAAACACTAAAGCCTATCTACAGTGCTGTGTAAAACACAAACAAAAATTAGGTTTTGCACTTACAAATTTCTGGATTTGTCATCCCAATTACTAATATATGTACACGAACCTTTTTCCCCACTCAACCCATCACCACTTGAAGTCTGCTACCCCACTGTTACAAAGTTACATCGGCTTCCTGTGTACTCGAGTGAACCATCTATATAGTTTAGACCTCCACAAACTAATGCATCTCAGAGTAATATCAACAAATGAATCAAAACAGAGAGGGGGAGAGATCAGGTACGATGGAACACCATGTTTTTTTTTGTTTACGATATAATGTACAATGGAACACCATGTTCCTCTGTCTAGCAAAAGCATCATCTTCCAAGGATGAGATCAGGTCCCAAAAAAGTAATCAGATCAAAGGGTGCAAATGACTAAGCAGATATGACTTTGTTTCTATGGAAGTGCAGACTCACAGAACTTTCAGTTCTTCACCACTAGTCTGAACAACATAGATTCTCAAATAAAGTCAAGTGCAGATAAATGAAAGTATTGAATACAAAGCATCAGGGACTCATGTATGACTATAATGACAAAAGGAAACTGTTGAAATTTCTACTTCAGCCAAAAAAGCAAGATCATGTCATGCCATATCTCCAACTTCAATATAATTAATTAATTAATCCTAAGATGTAACATCATAAATATATTTTTATTTGTTTTTAATTTGGCTGCCTTCATTTACCACAATCCAACAGTTTTAAGTCTGAACAAAAATGAAAACTGCTAGCTTTAGTGTCCACATGAATGCCA